TGGACGACTGTGCAAGTAAGATCGAAGATGTGTCTGGAATCGGAGATATTTCTGTATCCACGGAACTGAAGCAAACAATTGCCACGCACTTAGATGAGCTTGCAAAGTCTCTCGACGGATATTTCCCTACAAGAGAGTCATATCCAGCATGGGTGAGACAGCCGTTCACGTTTGCTGTTGAAACAGCAGATGTCAATGATGAATTCCTCGACGAAATCATTGTAATTCAGCAGAGCCAGGTTCAACAGCAACTCTTCAGAACAACAACGCTCTCAACGTTTTGGTGTCGACAAATGAACAAGTATCCAGTTATTGCTAAGAAAGCCCTGGATTTTTTTATACCATTTGTTACAACATATCTTTGTGAGCAATCCTTTTCGAGGATGCTGGACATAAAAACGAAGAAAAGGAACAGACTTTGCTGTGAAAATGACATGAGAGTGGCACTTGCCAAGGTGAAGCCACGCATATCTGAACTGATCTCTCAAAGGCAACAGCAGAAGTCACATTGATTTCCAGGTATGTAATTTGTTGTGAGTTTATGCATTGTGTTGGTTTTATTCTTTGAACAAGGTCATGTTCATGCACGGCTCATTTTGTGTACCAGTAAAAAACATATCTATGTCTTGAATTTGAAAAAAATCACATTTTATTTTTCACTAAAGAGGGGTTCGGTGAATGCGCATATGAAACTGGTGGGGTTCGGTACCTCCAACAAGGTTAAGAACCACTGGTTTAAATGCTCACTGCGGAGGAGAACCTACCACTCCTCTGTAGGGAGCAGGACCACTACCGCATGGATCTCAGCGGTATTCAGAAGGTCCGGTGGCCGGCTCTAGTTCCAGTCACTGTGAGGGGTGGACAGTTCTAGAGTTGAAGCTTTCGTGACTGCAAGGATCCATACTCTTTGGTTCTATTCGGTAAAGTCACGTTCTTTACTCGGGGCAGGAGTGCCAAACAACAGGAAGTGGCTCTTCTTCTGAACAAAAGAATGAAGGGGGGGAGGGTAGGAGCGTGGCAGTGAGGTGAGGGATGCTATAAGTAGTCCTAGGCTACTGTGGGCTCGCCTCACCATCAACCAGAGGCGAGGAGTGTGGTGGTAATTGCTTATGCCCCCACTGAAGATGAATATCAGCCAAGGGATGCAGGCAAGGCTGATGAGTCAGATGGCTTTTATGACCTCCTGTCACAGGTGCTAGCTAAAGTGGCTCCTCGGGATAGAGTCATCCTGTTGAGTGACTTGAATACCCGAGTTGGTCATGATGCTGGCACCTGGGCTGGAATGATCGGAAAGCATGGGCCAGATCAGCTCAATCATAACGGTAGGAACTGCTAGACTCCCGTGCAATCCATGGGCTTGTACTTAGCAATACGTTGTTTAGGCATCAGCGCATCCACACAACAACATGGATGCACGCCGGGTCCAAGCGAGACCATTTGCTGCCCTATAGTGACAGTACAGTGGATGCGGGCCCATGTTCTTGACATGAGGACATATTGTGGAGTTGATCTATCCACTGACCATCAGCTTGTCATCTGTAAGATGTGCCTGCCATTATTTCACTCCGGTGGTGGCTGTACATCTAGGACCCCATTCAAACAGGCAGTGGCCTAGTCTCAGCTAGCTGGGGTTGGCATCGTCCCACCCTCCTCCTGATGCTGAGGGGAAATGGGCAAGGTTTAGGACAGTAGCTCATGCAGCTGCAATGGCTGCTGTGGGTACACGGTCCAAGCCTCCCCAAAGACCCTGGCTGACAGAGGAGGTGTTCCAGCTAGCTGAGAAAAAGTGACAGACCCACACTCATCGTCTACAGTATCCCATGTCGGAGAATGAGAATACTTATCACTCGGCGGTTTGGAGAGCCGTGAGGTGCTGCAAAAATGAGTGGTGGTCATGGGTTGTTGAAGAGATGAAGTCTGCCTCAGTAGCACGTGATTACAAATTACTCTTTAACTCCATCAAAAAAGTAACTTTCAGTGCCATACCTATAAAATCCTTAGTTGAAAGGAAAGTGATCTGACACCCAACCTTCAGGAACAGGTTTGCACATTTGCTGAATATTTCTATGATTTCGTGGAGGAGATAAAATCCCTCAGCCTGGAACACATCATGGAGCAAAGTGTGGATTACCCTACTGAGGCTGCAGTGCTTCAAATATGGGAAAAAGTAGTCACCCCCTGTGAGTGGCTGGCTGAAGTTCAATCTGTTGAGGAAGTACAGAAGGCAATCCAGAGTCTGAGACCAGGAACAATGCCGAGCAGAGATGACCTCCCAAGCAAACAAACCGCTGAGGGAGGGTGGCGTTTGAGTGCAGACTGCCCTACATGGCACCATAACAAGTCCGGACCACTGGACGGGTTGTGCAGTATTGTAAGGATGCTCTGGTGCCCCCCCCCCTCTTTAAGAAGGGGGACCGCACAGACTAACAACTACAGGGGTATCTTCCTAATCAGTGTGCTGGGAAACGTCCTAGCAAACATTGTTTAAGATCACCTTGCCAGGCACACTGAGGAGAGGCTCGCGGAGCCCCAATGCGGTTTCAGGAAAGGGCGGTCCTGCACAGATGCCATATTTTCTCTCCGTTTGCTACAGCAGAAGTGCATGGAATTCCAACATGACCTACATCTCTGTTTTATTGACCTGGTCAAGGTCTATGATACCATCAGTAGGTCTGGGCTCTGGGTTGTTCTTCGTGCATTTTGAGTCCCTAACTCTCTCCTCACAGTCATTAAGGACCTTCATGATGGTGAGCGGGCCCGGGTAAAACTACGTGGCCGGCAGTCAGAGCCATCCCTGTTCACCTTGGGGTGCGACAGGGATGTCCTCTGGCTCCCACATTATTTAACATATTTTTGACCACGTACTTCGTGAAGCCTTTGATGGCTGTACCAGAGGAATTTCCATCTGGTACAGATACAATGGGAGGCTGATCGCTGCCCGGGTGCAGTCAAGGGATGGCTCCCTATTGGTCAACCACGTTATGTATGCCGATGATCTGGTAATTGCTGCTCACTCAGAGGAGTTGGAGGCGCTGCTGCTGAACCTGAAGCTTGCCACTAAGGGGCCTTACAATCAGCCCCACCAAAACTAAGCACCTGCCTGGGTAATTTGTGCTATCAAACATTCCACCCCCTCAACTCCCCATTGGCAGAGTAGTTATGGAGAGAGTGCAGCAGTTTCTGTACCTGGGCAGTGTGCTTATGACAGCAGAGGTCTGACTCTCAGTCAGTCGATCAGCAGTGTCTTTTCATTCTCCGCGTAACTCTGTGTGGAAGCTATCTGGTCTATTGCTCCACATAAAGCTTCGGGTCTTCTCGGCCAAGGTCATGCCCTCCCTTCTAAATGCTTGCGAAACGTGGTCCTTCTAATAGAACATCTTCGCCGGTTAGAAACATTTAGGCTGGCCTGCCTACGAATCATCCTGGGTCTAACCAGGCTGGATTGTGTGGGGAGCTCACAAGTCCCATCGGTGAGCTCCTCCGGCAGGCAAGGTTGCGTCGGCTGGGTCATGTAACCCGCATTCCCAACCACCGCATGCCTAAACAGCTTTTGTTCGGCCGGATCGAGGGGGCTAAACGGCGCGGCATGAGCTAAAGAAGACATGTAGTGATGTGGTACAGGAGGATGTAGAGCTGAGTGGACTTGCCGCTGACCGGTACCAGCGATGTCAAGATCAGCCTCTGTGGAGGAGGCTCGTGAAGGACGCTACTGGGTAGTTGGAGGCAGTCGCCCTCCAACAACAACGGAGAGCAGAGGAGCGATGCTCACAACAATGAGCGGAGCGCTGGGTGGCTAAAACACAAGTTGACACAGTGAGGGACACAGGTGGTGCATCGCCCAGTAATCTGTCAGGCAACCCATGGCATCTGTTTAGTCTGTCAAGTGACCTCCTGCCAGCGGGCGTTCGACACTTTACATTGGCTTAAAGTGCACATAACCTGGCACAAGCGCCATGGTGATGTCACCGCCACTTAGTGGCGAATGGCAGTTGTTGTTATCGTTCGTTGGTGGTCATCCAATTCAAAATCACCGTTCAGGACCAGGGCGTTTATAGACTTAAAGGCTACCACTTTAAAGTGTTGAAGGCTTGCCGATGGCAGGAGGTCACGGGACAGGCCCTGCAGGTGCCATGGGTTGACCGACTGAAATGACTCCGGGCAGATACACCACCACCACCACCACCACCTGACGTGCCCCCTGCTCTGACAACTCGCTGCCTTTTAACCGCGTGGCGCTCCGCTCGTTGTCGTGAGCAGCATCGTTCCTCTGCCCTCCGTTGTTGCTGCTGGAGGGCGACTGCCCTCCCAACTTGCTCCCCCCCCCCCCACCCAAAGTAAGTGTCCTCAATTGTGCACCTAGCCTGGCACGGCCCCAGCAGCAGCAGCATCCTGCATGAGCCTCCACTTCCACCAGTGTCGGGATTGAACTCATGCTTCTTGTACAACAGACGAGGTGGTTAAAATCCAGCCTTCAGCCAATCAGCGACGTCCGATTACGTGTGAGGCGTTTAAAGACTTTAGACTTGGCTTGGCTTAACATTTTACGTTTTCTGTTTTGGCCAGTGGAAGAAAAGTATAAATGTTGCGTCGTTAAACCCGCCACCACCACCTGACACAGTCAATTAGTAAGGTTTGTGTCGCGTGAACAAAACGTGGCCAATTAGTTAATAGTTCTGCACTAACTGGTTGTGTGTTGGCGAGCAACCCCACGACAACATTTACAATTGGTGTAACCAGGACGTTTTTGCCAGTGGTTACAACGACCAGCCTCATTAGGCGACAGCCAGAGTTGTGAATAATTCCTCCTGCTGTTACGGTCTTAAATAGACAGTGGGGATAAATGTGACGTCATCGCCTGTGAGCCAATCAGGTGCAAAGACCAGAGGGGGGGTGGTGTGTTAATTTATTCGTGTAAATTACAATGGATATCCATCACCGGTTGGATGATTAAAACAAAACAATGTAAACCTCTATTATAGATATTGGTCGTGAAAGCTTACCTGTTAATTTCTTTCTCTCCTCTTCCCTCTTTTCCTCCTTTCTCTCCTTCTTCTTCTTGTAAATGAACTCAGCAGCAGCAGCAATGCCAATCAGAATCAGCAGAAGCAGCACCGCACTCACCAGAATGATTACTGTCTTCCATCCTGTTTGGAAAAAAAGATGCACGCAGGTTTGTGTGTGTGTACATGTGTGTGTGAGTGTGTGTCAGGTCGACTCAGCCTCAAATGAGTACCTGGTGCGGTGGATAAAAACATCGCCACTGGGGAGACAAAGGCGGTCGGGCGTGGTGCTGGCCACCCACCCCCTCGTGTACCGTTCCGGCCTTCATAGGTGCTGCTCGCTAACAGCACTTGCCCCTACAGTCTGTTAAGGCTATACGGGGGATCTTTGTCTTGTGTGCCAGTGTGCCGCTAATGATGTGTGTTTGATGTAGGCAATGTGTGTGTGTGTATGGGCCGTGGTGGTGGGAGGCGTGCACTTAGCTAGATTAGTGTGTGGGAGGGGTTCGTAACCCCTTCACCTGGCAATTCTTCGACCAAGCACCACGGTGGAAACACCAAGACAAGCAGGGGGGAGAAACAGCCACGATGAGCTGCTCTGTCCTGTGTTGCGTTACAACTATGCTATAAACTAGACTACTATACATTACAATGGTATACCTTCCAATCTAAACTACATTGTATAATATCGTATACACAGCCCAATGTAAGCTCTAACATTATGCATTATATTGATATGCCTCCAAATAAACCTTTTTCTAAATTACACGACTATACACCGTAATATACGCTGCCATGGACAAACCCCACCCTTGAGTTATACAATGCGTTACTATACACTACCCTATACTTTAGACTATAAAATATTAGACTTGTAATATTACACTATGTATTATTCTACCAACCCTACTGTATACCACACTGATGTATGTTCACTATACAATTACGATACTATACATTTCCTTATGAATTAGGTTAAACATTACACTGTTATACTATTTATAATAATACAACATGCTATAAACCATACCATTGACCATCGTGTGAAAGGTATTAAGAGTCAATGTCAGCGAATGGACTGCAGTCTGAAGGTCATCGTAAAATACAATCAATCAAGAACCTAAATGGTTTATAACGTCTTTCCAATGGTTACTAAGCCAGAATCCATCTTCTCGGTTGAAATTGTCTCTGTGTTTGTATATGTGGATGGCCTCATGAACAAATCTCTCATGGTAACCGGATGGCTTGTAGAGAACCTCTGTCTTGGAGAAGTCAATGTCATGTGAGCCCACTGAATTATAACAGTGATCTGCCACGGCTGAGGAGTTCGTCCTACCGTGTTTCAAGTCTGCTTTATATTCACGGATGCGGTCCGAGATGTCGTTTGGTTTCTCCAATGTAGCTGCTACCACAGAGGCAACTTAGTTTGTAGATGCCCGGGTACTGTATGTCTGAAACCACATCTTTTACAGACGGATCCAGATCATGGATTTTATGTACTGTGTTGAATCTGGATCTTGACCTTATGGAAGAGGTACGTGGATGACACTTTTGTCATCTGGCCACATGGCCGGCCTGCTCTAGACCAATCTTCAAATGAAAATAGAACCGAAGCTGTACCGAAATCTTTTTAAATAAATACCTTGAAGTTTTTTACCGTGTCGGAGACACTCATTAAATGATGATGAAGGTTTATAACATGATAGTTTATATGATGATCTTGGTTTATATGATGATGTTTTACATGATCATGATGATGGTTTATTGGATGATGATTTACGTGATGATGATGATGATGATGGTTTATATGACGACGATGATGATAGTTTATATCGCTCCATGACGAGATCATCGAAATGCACCTGTCAAAGGTGTAACAGAATCCACCCTGCAGAAATGCTCGCTGCCACGCTTATGATAGCCGGGTTTGCATCTGCACCGTCTGTCTGTGGTTGTGCTGCATTCCTGCTCCTCTTCCTCATCTGTGGATAAGAGAAAAATATCAAGTAGTGTATAGTGTAGTATAGTGTAGTGTACAGCGTAATGTAAAGTAGTGTAAAGAATAGTAGTGTATAGTGGGGTAGTGTATAATAGTGTTGTATATAGTAGTGTAGTATACAGTATTGTATAGTGTAGAGTATAGTAGTGTAGTGTAAAGTGAAGTGTCTAGAAGTGCAGTGCATAGTAGTGTAGTATATAGTAGTGTAGGGTATAATGCAGTGAAAAGTAGTGTAAAGTGGAGGGTATAGTAGTCCAGTGTATAGCAGTGTATAGTAGTGCAGTGTATAGTGGAGGTTATAGTAGTTTATTGTGGTGTAGTGGTGTAGAGTATTGTAGTGTAGTGTATAGTGAAGTGTAGAGTGTAGTGTATAGGGTAGTGTATACTGTAGAGTAGTATAGTGTATAGTAGTGTACTGTATAGTAGTGTACTGTATAGTAGTGTACAGTGAAATGAATAGTGTAGTGTATAGCTTAGTGTACAGTATAGAGTAGTGTACGATGTGGTGTATAGCGTCGTGTATAATGTATAGCATGGTGTATGTAGTGTACAGTAACGTAGGGTATAATGTGGTGTTTAGTAGTGTTGTGTATAGCAGTGTATAGCAGAGTAGTGTATTGTGTATTTTTAGTAGTGTAGTGTTTAGTAGTGTATAGTGTAATGTTTAGCAGTGTAGTGTATAGTGTAGTGTTTTGTAGTGTAGCACATAGTGTAATGTTTAGTAGTGTAGTTTATAGCAGTGTAGTGTATAATGTAGTGTTTAGTAGTGTAGTGTACAATAGTGGTCTACAATGTAGTGTTTAGTAGTGTAGTGTATAGTGTAGTGTTTAGTAGTGTAGTGTATAGTGGTGTATAGTATAATGTTTAGTAGTGTAGTGTATAGTGGTGTATAGTGTAGTGTTTAGTAGTGTACAGTAGCGTAGCGTATAATGTGGTGTTTAGTAGTGTTGTGTATAGCAGTGTATAGCAGTGTAGTGTATTGTGTATTTTTTAGTAGTGTAGTGTTTAGTAGTGTATAGTGTAATGTTTAGTAGTGTAGTGTATAGTGTAGTGTTTTGTAGTGTAGTGCATAGTGTAATGTTTAGTAGTGTAGTTTATAGCAGTGTAGTGTATAATGTAGTGTTTAGTAGTGTAGTGTACAATAGTGGTCTATAATGTAGTGTTTAGTAGTGTAGTGTATAGTATAATGCTTAGTAGTGTCGTGTATAGTAGTATATAGTGTTTAGTAGTGTATCGTAGTGTATAGTGAAGTGTATAGCATTGTGTATTGGGTGTAAGTCAAAAGATGCTTAAGCACACAAGACAATTGGGATGAGTTCCTCACCGGGCTGACAAGGTGTGCACATAAAGCATTTTCCTGAGCTGTTTGGTAACTCGGTATAAGTGCCACCGTCGCAGACTTGACAGCCGGAGTGTCCCTGTTCAGCTGTGCAGTCCGATATTAAATACTTCCCTGTTGGGAGCAAAGCACAAACACGGGCACGCACGGACAAACGCTCATAAATGATCGTTTTCGTTAGAATTTTCCAACAAAATGTACTCAGCTAAACTCGATTTGTTTTTCATCCTACCAGGTGCAAGGCCCCACTGAGCTATGTAGATCTTTGTCAGAAGCGGCACCTGGCAATCGCAAATGATAGCAACTCAACCAAGTGGATAATATCATCATCGCGTGGAAATTCATAGCAGCAAAATAATCGAAACTCTAACCACGTGATGTTTATTCTAAACTTGGAGGGAAAATAAGTAATATTTTAAAAATACTTTTTTTTTTTTAAACACGCTTTAATGAAATGTACCGTACGAGTAATGGCAGAACTCCACGACTCTAGGAAGTGGCCCCAAAGAGGCCCTGGTGATTTACAGCCAACGTGAGTTGAGCGTGGATAATTACACTCAAGCCGAAACATAAGATATGAAAAAAGATTGCTTAAAAATATATTTTTTTCATTTTTAATGATAGAATATAGTAATTGTTATCAGTATGACATACGTTTACCAAGTTTGCAGTCGATACGACATTGGGAAGTGGGTTAAAACTTCAAATCTAGAGTTAAAATTGAGTTACAATATTTGAGGATGTGACAACAGAGTTGAGGATACGACAGACAGAGTGAGTTAAATAAAAGCGTGTAATAAAAAAAACGGAGGACCCGGAGAACAATCCATGGCGGAGAGAGACGCAGGGTCCAGGATCGAGCCTACTACCTCCTGCATACCAGGCGAGGTACTTAACATCTCGCAGGGTCCAGGATCGAACCTACTACCTCCTGCATACCAGGCGAGGTACTTAACATCTCGCAGGGTCCAGGATCGAACCTACTACCTCCTGGATACCAGGCGAGGTAGTTAACATCTCCTAACTACTATGGCGCCCCAAATTGTACCGTGATTGTGCACTTCCCATAATGTGTTGGTAGTTTGTTATCCTTCACCCGCACCTCCAATTATCGTAGTTGGCTCCGTACGCTGACAAAAAAAATTCAACATACACTATACACTACTAAACATTACACCATATACTACATACTATACACTACATACTATACACCAAACAACGATACACTATACTATATACTACACACTACATTATACACTGCACTATACAATACACTACAGACTATATAAACACACACTACTCCACTACACTATACACTGCACTACTATACACTACACAACACACAGTATACATTATACTACTACACACTATACACTTTCAATAACACTACCTCATTATACACTACACCACTGCTATGCTGCATTGACATTTCTTTAGAACTGATGTATGTGTTTGTGGTTTGTTGACCTTCCCCTGCCACCTCCGATGCGCGCGATTAGCTCGGTGCTGTGGTGCGAGAGAAGTTCAACACACGCGTACACTCACTCACACAATACAAAGGCCTCTTAACAAGAGCTGCACTGCCAATAGAATGGTTTTCCTCGGCTTGTTTGAAGAAAACAACACCGCCACTATATCTGTGAACTTTAAAATATATCGATCGTAAAAAGTGTTTTGTTTTACTAGGAGAGGTCAATTTCTATTCTTTGTGGGGTTTTTTTTTTCAGAAAAGTCACGTAGATATAAAAATAAAATAGAATAAAAAGTGAATTAAAAAAAAATATATAAAAAATAACAAATAAAAAACACTTTCATGATTTTTTTTTTAATATTTATTCACTTTATTGTTTTCGTTATGGTTTTTTCTGTCTACGTGACTTTACCGAAAGAACCAAAGAATTTGAATTCCTGCCGTCACGAAAGTTTCAAGTAAACATTTAGGGCCAATTTCCTTCACCTGCTTCGCACTGCTGACAGCAAACGGCACCGCTTGCTGACCGGTAGAATCCACGCGGACACTCGCCGGCTTTGGTTGTCTGTGAAGGAGAGAAGGGCTCTTGACAACTCAACCAAAAAACTTAGTTTTATTCCACCAGGTAAGGCGCCTCTGAGCTGCTGTACTGCTCTTTTTTTGGACGTTTGGCAACTGCGTGTATCCTCGCAGAGTATCATTGAAAATAATTAATATTTAAAAATACTTTTTTTTTAAAAACACGCTTTAATTAAATGTACCCTACTCGTAATGGCAGAACTCCACGACTCCATGAAGTGGCCGCAAACGCTCGCAACAACGTAAGGAACCCGTGGTGATTTACAGCCAACGTCAGTTTACCGTGGACAATTAGACCCAAGCCGAAACATAACATCTAAAAATGAATGTAAAAAAAAAATACTTTGTTTAAATTTTTTTAATGATAGAATCTAGAATTGTCATCAGTATGACATAAGTATACAAAAGTTTGCAGTCGATTTCCACATTGGGAAGTCGATACCACATTGGGAAGTGAGTTACAATTAAAGTTACAAGATTTGAGGATACAACAACAATAACAACATGCAGAGCGAGTTAATAAAAAGCGTGTCAAAAAAAATAGATTCTCCGAGTGTGAAGTAATGTCCCTACAAGATGAATGGCTCAACTAACAATTTGGGCTATAGACGGGGGGGGGGGGGGGCAAGTTATACAAGAGATGCCGGTGAGAAGCATGACCTCGATGGATAGGTCTTTAGTCTAAATAGCCGGCGATGTGTCGGGCAATCGAATTAGAGGCCCGCATGGTTCTTCTCACCACTACGAATTATCTACGCGCACCGGGAAACACCTCCTCCCCTCCCCCCACCCCTCACCTCACCTGCATCATCGCCACAGTTTCTGTAGCAGCCGATGACACCGCAACCGCCAACACCACCGCCAGCACCACCGCCAGCACCACCACCATGGTCAGAGAGGGCTCGCGGGTTTCTGTTTGCCGAATTCTCTTGTGCTGGACGGAGTTCGCCCCTTTTGCGTGGGCTGGCGGCTTCCTTCTATTTTGTTTACTTCCCTCCGTAGACTCTTGTCTTAGTTGTGAGCGAGCGAGCGAGCGTGATTCGCCCTCCTGTTGTCGTGCATTGGAGCCGCATCCGATTATTTTTTTGCTGGCTGGTGGTGCGAAATAAGTTCGGCATGAGTCACGTATACGTGCTTTTACACTACGCACTACGCACCGCTATACACTACACTATTGTACACTACAAAATACACCGTGAGATTATATACTACACTATACACTATGCTATTATACACAACACTATACACCATGATATTGACCGCTGCATTATGTACTACGCTATTAGACACCATCACTAGACACTACAATATACAATATACCCCACACACTATTCAATTTACGACTATACACTACACCACCACCATTATAATATACACAATAGACTATGCGATTACATTAAACTATACACTACACTAAACATTACACGATACACTACGCTAGTATACAATACACTAAACACTACACAGCTTCTTTGGTTCTTTCGGTAAAGTCATGTAGAATGAGAATAAAATAATAAATTGATAAAATAAAATAACACAATAATATTCTCACGACGTTTTGACCACAACACAAGACAAATACTTTGAAGGCCGCTTGTGTTGTGGCCGAAACGTCGTGAGAATATTATTGTGTTATTTTATTTTATCAATTTATTATTTTATTCTCATTCTACGTGACTTTACCGAAAGAACCAAAGAAGATGGGTCATTGCAGTCACGAAAGCTTTAAATCGAAATTTACACTACACAGCTATACACTCTAGACTACACTACTATACACGACACACTATAGCCTAATAAAACCTGTATTAGGAACACACTATAAAACTACACCACTATGCAATACACTACACCACAATACACTACACTATACACTACACACTATAACACTACACTATACCCTACACTACTATATATAACACACTATAACCTAAAAAACATTTATTAAGAACACAGTATAACACTACACCACTATACACTACACTATACACTACACCACTATACACTACACACTGCACTATACACTACATTATACACTACACTACATCACTATACACTACACCACTATACACTACACCACTATACACTACACTATACACTACTATATACTACACTATACACTGCACTATACACTACACCACTATACACTACACTACTACACACTACACCACTATACACTACAGACTGTACATTACACTACTATACACTACTATACACTACTATACACTACTGTACACTACACTATACACTACACGACTATACACTACACTATACACTACACCACTATACACTACACTATACACTACACTACTATACACTACACTACTATACACTACTGTACACTACACTATACACTACACCACTATACACTACACTATACACTACACCACTATACACTACACCACATTGACAACTCATGTCTATAGAACTGCTGCTGTTGCTTGTTGTGTATTTTGTCTTTCCCCAATCCGCACGCAGCCACCGCCATTGCCTGCGTGCGGTTGCGAAAGAAGTTCAACAAACGTACGGACGTGGATTTTCATCATCATCAAGATGTGGACATTTATAGGAGCAGACAAATACTTTGAATGCATAGAGACCCACGTTTACACAGAAACCCATGTGTATTTTCACTGAGACCCATACAGACACAGATACCCATATAGAGATACAAACCCCGATAGACACAGAGACCCATATAGATACATAGAGACGCAGATACCCATACAGATGCATAGAGCCCATATAGTTACATAGGCCTATTTACATAAATAGCGACCCATATAGATACAGAGACCCATAGAGACAAAGAGACCCACATAGACACACAAATACCCATATAGAAACGAGCGACATTAACAACATCAACAACAACATCATCAACAACATCAACAACAACATCATCAACAACACCAACAGAGTTAAGAAACTCACTCAGGCGACGAACCTTCGGTGGACGCTTTTCGAATTTCTTTTATGCTTCTCTCCGCGGTTTCGTGACATCACGCGGAACAATTCTGGTTTCCTCTTTCACGGCGCTTACCTGTCCCGCCACAGGTAACGTTCGGAGGGGTGGGTGGTTGGGTGAGGGAGTGGGTCGGTGGATTAGTGAGTGAGGGGTTTGGTGGGTGGGTGAGTGGGTTATTAGGTGGATTGGTGAGTGAGTTAGTGGGTGAGTAGGTGTGTGGGTAAGTGAGTGGGTCGGTGAGTGATTGAGTTAAAGGGTGGGTTAGTGAGTGAGTGGGTCAGTGGGTGGGTGGGTGAGTGAGTTTGCAGGTGAGTGGGTAGAGGGATTAGTGATTGGTGCATAGGTACAGCAGAGGCGTGCTTTGCGAATGTTTACACGGTCGAATCGACAGGTGCAGGTGATTGTGGAAACGTGAGAGGCGAGCAAACGGGAGGAGTCAAAGAGGATACCCGAGGTTGTGGGCAAAGGGGACAAGGGTGGGTGTTTGGGTGAGTTAGTGGGTGGGCGAATGGGTACTCGACTCCCACAACTCCCAATCGGTGATGGGGCAGTTGTGGAGAGAGTCAAGAGTTTCCCATACCTGGGCAGTGTGCTCATGACCGGCTCCGGTTTAACAGCAGAGGACTCACTCCGAATCAGTCGAGCGGCAATATCTTCTTCTTTGGTTCTTTCGGTAAAGTCACGTAGAATGAGAATAAAATAATAAATTGATAAAATAAAATAACACAATAATATTCTCACGACGTTTCGACGAGTCTCGTCCCTTCACCTGATGAAGGCCGCTTGTGTTGTGGCTGAAACGTCGTGAGAATATTATTGTGTTATTTTATTTTATCAATTTATTATTTTATTCTCATTCTACGTGACTTTGCCGAAAGAACCAAAGAAGATGAATCATTGCAGTCTCGAAAGCTTTAAATCGAAATTTTTCGGCAATATCTTTTCACCAAAACTAGAAATCCGCGGATGTTCCGTCAACAAATATGTTTTAAGGTCACTGTGACTCAGGTCTAAATCTTTGACTTCTATGGCTCTTTCAACTTCTGTGATGGACAATATGATAACTATGCTGTTGCTTACCCACTTTGTCAAGTGGAATCCCCCACTAGAACACAAAGTTCGGAGATCTCTTGACAGAGTGACAGCAAGGTCTTCAGATGACACAGACATCAAGCGGCCTGTCGATGTGGACGTTTCTGCATACTTGTTGTCAACCGCCTCTGGTGTTGACGAGTTTACTTCCATCTTTAGCTGTTCTCCTTAGCGCGTAGGATGCACAGCTGGTTGATGACGTGGGCTCCAAATGGGTGCACAGTCATTCTGTACTCCTCTGTGGCTCGATTCAGGTCCCCATCGGGCCACCACAGGAAACGCAGGAAGTCAGTGCCATCGTCCGGCACTCTGACCTATGAAAATATCGACTCGATGTCCGCCATCATAGCCACGGATTCTTCTCTGAATCTGCTCAACGCACCAATGAGAGTGTTGGTGAGGTCGGGTCCTTGGAGTAACTGCTCATTCGATGGAGGTTTCCTTGGTATGTTGCAGTGCAGTCGAAGACTCCACGGATCTCCTTTTATCTTCGGGTGGTACACCCCATGGTGGGGAATATGCCACGCTCTTCCGTCTTCTAGATCCAGCTGTTTATTAGGCACTTTCACAGCATAGCCCTTTGCAATGATGTCTCTCATGAAGCTTTTGCGCTCCTCATGGAAATCTGGGCTCTGGCTCAGCTTTCTCTTGAGACTGATGATGCGCTGCTCTGAAACGCAGCGGTTGAATTCTCACTTCTCAATGGCAAACGAATAGTATAGTGTCCATCGACCAGCTCTGCTGACCTTGAACTGATGGTCTTCTTGTGACATCTCTGGTTGGTCCTCACAACTGCGTTCTGAGAAGTCTGTGTTGTATTGTTGGATGAACAGTTCTGCAATGTTTGAGATGGAGATGCGGTTTTGCTGTGCAACTTTTCCATCTTCCATTGGCATCTCCTGTTCTCATAGGTCCGTTCACTATGTTGTATATGTCGGGTCTTGAAAAATTAATAATAAAAAAATAATGGAAAATGTCTAATTATATAAAGGTATGTTAATTTATATAATTATGCGCATAATTTATGCTAATTAAGGATGTGTGAGTGTGCGAAGTTATGCAACTGTATGCGATTATGCTCATGCATGCAATTATGATAATTAGGCTCTGCCTCGTTGTATAGGGTCGTATTATCAATCGGGATAATACAATGAATTGTATGAAGTTATGCAAGTGTGATGTAAGTATGCTGATTAAGTTCGGCTTCGTTGTCTAGGGTTGTATTATCAATCGGGATAATACAATTATTCTCACTTTAACATTTACTGATTATGTATTAGTGTTTTTATGTCAGGTCTCCAAATTCAAATCTCACCGCAGGATACAGTTCTTATAATTAAGATTATTACGCATGAACTTAGGAAGGCACCACTCAGACACTTCTGTGTTAAGCAACTTTAATTTCTAAACAAAAACATAACACATCTAATATGCAAACTCTTATGCTTGGAATTGTCAACACAGTACTCCTGGAGATGTTCTCCTCAATGATCCGTACATTTAACCCTTAATGATTACGTTATTAAACTGGGTAACAGAACAGTCCATTAATTCCTCAGAGTAACGCGAGCACATACGGCGATAGGAAGAAGTCCTTAAAAATGAATGTGACGACATTCATACGAACGGCAGTAAAGAAACATGTCCCGAAGGCAAAAATATACCTCAATGAATTCATTGGTAAGATTGTGTAATTAACGAAATGTCTTGGAACAATGGTGTGCGGTAGTGTGCCTGCTTCAGCAAATGCTTATCAATTGGCTAAGGCTTCAATAAATTCGCGGGCAAGATTCTGTGATCAAAGGAAAGATTTCAACACAATAGTCTCCCTGTGAGTGTGTGGATTCGTGACGTAGGTTTCTAAACGCTTAGTTTCATCAATGAATTCATTGGTAAGCTATGCACTTAACAAAAAGGGGCGACTAAAATACTTCTAAACGACCGTATCCAAGTAACTCAATGGGCAGCAATATTCCTCGTTATCAGCTAATAGTTGACGCACTCTTATCATGAGTCCTCTTATCATGAGTCCTCTTATCATTAGTCCTCTTATCATTAGTCCCGGTATGTGCTTTATGTGTGTGTCGGTGGTGGTTTTGTCTCCTTGATCAATTATTTGCGTCAAACAGACGCAAATAATTGGTAGGACAGCGCTGGAGTGAGAAAGCCACGCTGAGATCGCGACCTTTAAGCTGTGTGAGAAGAAAACAAAGCGCCTTGACAAAGGAATTAGCGTATGTATACACGCAGCTTAAAGGTCGTGATCTCAGCGTGGCTTTCTCACTCCAGCGCTGTCCTACCAGA